CTCAAAGGGCCTCTGAGACCTATACGCAGACTCAAGCCCGACAAACCTTAGATGCTGAGCGCCACGCATTTCAAAGGGCCTCTGAGACGTTTACGCAGACTCAGGCCCGTCAGACCCTGGATGCTGAACGCCACGCATCTCAAAGAGCTGCTGAGACAGTGGAACAGACTCAGACACGTCGAGTTTTAGATGCCGAACGTCACGCGCAATTGATTGCGGCAGAGACTGACGAAGATTCACAAAGACGACGTCTTTTAAATGCTGAACGGCAGGCAGAAAGAAGACGTACGTTTTCAATGAGTACGTGGGAGGCATTTAATGGTGCCGCTTTTGAGTATGACCCTTTGATCGACTATGTTAATCACCGATTGGTTATCATTGGGAGAATGGATAAAAAATGCAGATATTGTGAAGCACTGAAATGGAAAGAAGAAACTCCAGGTATGTGCTGTTCTGGTGGAAAGGTTAAAATTCCATTACTTGGCGAACCAGAGGAACCTCTTAAATCTTTACTTTTATACGACAGTAACGAATCGCGCCGGTTTTTAAGCAGGATTAGAAAGTATAATTCTTGCTTTCAGATGACGTCATTTGGTGCAGATAAGGAGGTCGTAATGCCTGGATTTTCACCTACTTTTACCATCCAAGGACAGGTGTATCACAGGATTGGTTCCTTACTTCCCGCAAATAATGAACAACCAAAGTTTTTGCAACTTTATTTCATGGGCGATGAAAAAAACGAAGCTGATCGCAGGTGTCAAAATATACAAGGAATCGAAAGGGATACTGTTTTAAAAATCCAGAGAATGTTGCATGAACATAATCGCCTTATCAATACTTTCAAAACAGCACTAGAAAGAATGCCGGGAGAGGATTATAGGTTGGTGATGCACCCCGATCGCACACCAAGTGGGGAACATGAAAGGCGGTATAATGCACCGTTAATAAATGAAGTCGCAGCCTTGGTTACAGGCGAACAGTTTGCTTTCCGTGATATAGTTTTACAGGCCCGAGATGACACATTAACCAGGGTGCCTGATACTCATAAATTTTATGATGCGTTGCAATATCCGATCATATTTAGTAAGGGACAAGAGGGGTACCACTTTCAAGTTCCTCAAATTAATCCTGTAACAGGTCTTCCCTTGCATAACAAAAAGGTTTCATGCATGGATTTTTATGCCTACAACATGATGATACGAGAAAACAACTTTAACATTGTACAAAGATGCAAGCAACTGGCCAATCAGTTTTACGTTGACATGTACGTTAAAGTTGAAAGCGAGAGGTTACGGTACATATCATTAAATCAAACTAAACTAAGAGCAGAGAATTACATCCATCTTCAAGACGCTGTGGCAAATGACGCTAATTTAAATCCAAATAACTTAGGTCGTATGGTCATTTTACCATCTTCATTTGTAAATAGCCCGCGGTACTTACACGAATATACTCAGGACGCGTTTGTTTATGTGCGTACACATGGTCGCCCTGACTTATTCGTCACCTTTACTTGCAACCCAGCCTGGCCCGAAATAGTCAATCAGTTGATGCCGGGGCAAAGCGCAATAGATAGACATGATGTAGTCGCAAGAGTTTTTAGACTAAAAGTTAAAAAAACTAATGGATGTGATTAATAAAGGCCGAGTGTTCAGAGAAGTGCGCTGCTTTATGTACTCTGTCGAATGGCAGAAACGTGGACTGCCACATGTCCATATATTATTGTGGTTAAAAGATAAGTTACGACCCGATCAAATAGATAACATAATCAGCGCTGAAATACCGGATCCTAACATTGACAAGACTCTCCATGACATTATTGTAAAAAATATGATTCACGGTCCATGCGGACCCGAAAATCCACAGTGCCACTGCATGAAAGACGGAAAATGCACAAAAAAAATTTCCTCGCAAGTTAGTGAAAGAGACCGTTCACAACGACCACGGATACCCGCAGTATCGTAGAAGAGCGCCAGCAGACGGAGGTCGAACAGCAACCGTGAAGCTCCGAAATGGTAGCTACGTTACGGTTGATAATAGTTGGGTAGTCCCCTATTCACCAATTTTATCAAAAATGTTTAACGCCCACATAAATGTTGAGGCATGCAGTTCAGTACGCGCCATCAAATATATTTGCAAATATATAAACAAGGGTAGTGATCAAGCTATTTTCAATTTTAGAAATACTGATCTTGTGAATCCCGTAGATGAGGTACAAACTTATCAGTCTGGTCGGTATGTCAGCAGCAACGAAGCCGTGTGGCGTCTGTTAGCATTTCCGTTGCACGAAAGGCATCCCACCGTGACACATCTCAGCGTGCATTTAGAAAATGGTGAACGCGTTTATTTTAATGAACACAATTTCCACGAACGAATAACTACTCCGCCAAAAACCACACTCACTGCTTTTTTTGATCTTTGTATCAGAGATGAGTTTGCAAAAACTCTTCTTTATGTCGAGGTGCCGAGGTATTATACTTGGGATGCAAGTAGGAAAACTTGGAAACGCCGCATTCAAGGTACTTCAGTTCACGATTGGCCTGGCGTCAAATCTGGAGATGCTTTAGGACGAGTTTATACAGTTCATGTTAGTAACATGGAATGTTTTTGTCTACGCATGCTTTTACACCATGTGCGCGGACCTACCTCTTTCAATGATCTAAAAAAATACAACACACAAGATTATCCTACATTTCGAGAGGCATGTGAGGCAAGAGGATTACTGGAGAATGACAACCATTGGGATGTGACACTGGAAGAAGCTGCTCAATGTAGATCAGCAGGCAAGATGAGAGAGCTATTTGCTGTATTAGTAGCGACATGTGGTCTTTCAAATCCTCAACAATTGTGGGATAAATACAAAAATGATATGACCGACGATATATTGCACAGATTACAAGAGCAAAATCCCAATGTCACGTACAGTGATTTAATTTACAATGAGGGTTTGACAAAAATTGAAGACCAGGTTAAAACAATTTCTGGAAAGGATTTATCAGATTATGGAATGATCAGACCACAGAGAACCGAGGAAATCAGTAGCGATTTAATACGGGAACTAGATTACGATACTGCTTCCTTACAACAACAATTGACAGAGTCTGTTCCACGTTTGATCCCAGAACAAAGGTTAGTATTTGACAATGTTTTCAAAAAAATCGAAGATGGCGAAGGTGGTTTGTTATTTTTGGATGCTCCCGGAGGCACGGGAAAAACCTTTCTTTTAAACTTGCTTTTAGCGCAAATCCGAAAAGATAAAGGAATTGCTGTAGCAGTTGCCTCTTCCGGAATAGCCGCCACTCTGCTCAATGGTGGTCGAACGGCACATTCGGTGCTTAAACTGCCATTAAACTTAGCCCATGAAGAAATGCCAGTCTGTAATATAAGTAAAAACAGCGAGCGTGGACGTATGTTGCAGCAATGTAAATTATTAGTTTGGGATGAGTGTACTATGTCCCATAAAAGAGCAATTGAAGCTCTAGATCGGACTTTGAAAGACATCAAGAGTAATCCAAATATCATGGGGGGGATGGTGGTACTTTTAGCGGGCGATTTTAGACAGACTTTGCCGGTTATCACTAAAGGCACCCCTGCAGATGAAATAAATGCGTGTTTAAAAGCGTCAACGTTATGGGTGCACGTAAAAACGTTTAGTCTGTCTACAAATATGAGAGTGCAACTACACAATGATGTACAATCTGGACATTATGCTGCTGCTCTTCTTAAAATTGGAGAAGATCGTATGGCAAAGGATGGTAATGGCATGATTACATTGGATCGTGAATTCTGCAATGTTGTGAAGTGAAGAAGAAGACGAAGTTATTTAGATCATCTGGAATAATCCAGATGATCTAAATAACTTCGTCTATAGCGAACTGCTAACTAATATGAGGAATAGAGACTGGTTATGTGAAAGAGCAATTTTAGCGCCGACGAATGAAATGGTGGGACAGATAAACGAGCAAATTATGTCACGCGTGGAAGGTGATATTGTTGAGTTTCTCTCTGTAGACACTGTAATGGATACTGAACAAGTAACATCATACCCTGTAGAATTTCTTAATTCTTTAGAACTGTCGGGAGTACCTTCACACAAACTGAGGCTGAAAGTAGGCGTTCCTGTCCTTTTAATGCGGAGTTTAGATGCACCAAGACTGTGTAATGGCACACGGTTGCAAGTGACACACCTCGGTCGCAATATTGTAAAAGCAATCATTATGACTGGAATGGCAAAAGGAGAGAACGTTTTAATCCCCCGTATACCCATAATTCCGACAGATTTGCCATTCCAGTTTAAGAGATTACAGTTTCCGCTGAAAATCGCATTCGCTATGACGATAAATAAAGCTCAGGGGCAAACATTAAAAGTAGCCGGCATTAATTTAGAAAAGAGTTGTTTTTCTCACGGACAATTATACGTGGCTTGCTCACGTGTTTCAAGTCCACAGAATCTCCATGTGTTGGCCAGAGAGGGAAAAACAAAGAACATAGTTTACAAAAATGTACTACAGTAATAAGGCCTCTTATTGTTAGCTTCCTACATTATTATACTACTTACATTAAGTTAGTACTTCCTACGCAGACGATGTTACGGATGTCACACTGTCTAACATCGGGGGGTTGGCAGGTAGGTAGTTAGTAGTATTTTAAACCGATTTACATTATTTACTTTTTATATTTACTAAGGAAACATTCGGAGCTATCCATTATGTAGCTTAGGTTGCTTTTGAACAAATTTTGATGTGAAGTTGAGGACTGGAACACGATAGTGGGACATTGTTGCAGGGGGACTTATAGCCGGGAGAAAACAAAAAAAACTTATGCGGACGAAGTCGCGGGTAAAAGCTAGTTAAAAATAAATTCAATGAAATTTAATTATTTTAAGTCCAAGAAATAAACTGTTTTTTCTTTTACTGTTTAACGACCATTGATATGATGTTAATGGTGTGACAGTGAAGTATGGTCCAGATACAAGAACAGTGTGCCATTGTAATACTTACCGATCAGAACAGATATGACGTAGAGTCCTGCGGTGCGCACTGTGAACTTAACGCGCGCCGTGTGCGCCTGCGCCGGGTCGTCGGAACCCAGTTCCATTACAGCCGTGATCTGCACAAGCCACGACATTCCATATATCCGCCTTTAGAACTCCAATGCCCAATGGATTTTTAAAACATTCTTATTTAGCATATTTTTTTATAGGAGAGGGGGCGAACGAGCATACGGCTCACCTGATGGTAAGTGATTACCGCCGCCCACGAACAACTGCAACACCAGGGGGATTGCAGATGCGTTGCCGGCCTTTTAAAAAGGAATAGGCTCTTTTCTTGAAGGTTCCTAAGTCGTATCGGTCTGGAAAAATCTCTAGTGGTAGTTGGTTTCACAAGGAAGTTGTGCGAGGAAGAAAAATTCTTTTAAATCGTTTAGTGGTGGACCGCCAACCATCCAGATGGTACGGATGGTACGCGAGTTTTGTCGCGACGTGTGATGGTGAAACTGCGCGACTGGAATTAGCCCGAACAATTTCTCAGAAAACTCCCCGTGGTAGATGCGATAAAATACGCAAAGAGATGCAACATCACTTCGCAGTGCCAGTGACTCAAGCCGATCGAAAAGAGCTCGGTTGCCGACGATTCAAACTGCTCTGCGCTAGATGCACGATTCAAACTGCTCTGCGCTGGATGCGATCAAATGGAAGGAGCTGGCACTGGGGAGCCCCGGGCAAGAGATAGGAACAGTATTCCACGTGCGGCCGAACTTCCGCCTTGTAAAGCTGCAGGCGGTATGCCGACATGAAATACTGTCCCGCTCTGCTGAACACGTCAAGCTTTTTAGAGGCCAATTCGGCCTTCTCTCTATATACTCCTTTCTCGACGTTCTCGAAACAGTTTCACTATTTTATTATTTTGTGTTTATTTGAGTAGGTTCCCAAATGGTTTAGATTCATAATTGGACTCAGTAGGTGGCGCTATAATCGAGATCCAGAAATCAACCGTGTGAAACCGAGGCGGATCGCTAGTAAATATTTAAGTTATCGCACTACCAACCTTTTTGGTGCCGTGCGCGATGCTAACACTGAGGTCATCGGTGTCACAAACGGGATAGGGCTGACCGTTTCGCTGGTAGCAGAGCACCGTGAAGCACATCGTATCACCCACCGGCTGTGGTTCCTCCCATCCCCACTCCACCTATCCGAACACTTCTTTATTAGTTCATATGTAATACTGTAGGTAAGTTAGGGAGACTGTGCCAGCACTAAAAATTGTTTAACCAAGATCTTAATTACATTAAACAAACCACAGATCATGATGTGTGTGTTGTTACAGGTCATGGCACTTTTACTGTTACCGTTACAGCCTATAAGAGTCCACAGCTAGACATAGGCTACTCTATTTTCAGTCTTTATGACGAAGATGCTACTGCCCATCTGATTTCGTTAAGGCTAGCCACCGTGACCGAAATTCGGTCTGAACAACATTGTATTTGTATTTCTATATTTTGCAACTGAAATATATTGATTTATTATACTATGCACGTATTTATTGTATATAAAATTATATATATATATTGCACATATTACCAAATAGCTTGCGTATACCTTAACCGTTTCTCATAAGTCATTATATCCTCTAGGTGGTTGCCTGGTAAAGATAAATTGTGAGCGATAAGGCCGCCAATTGGTACCTTTATTTGTTTTGTTAGTTTTTTTATTTGTATTTTTTCTCTTATTTATCGGTGTACAAAAAAGTCCACCCTATGGTAAACGATCAAACTACCTACAAGTACGTTTAAATACTATATATCATGTACACACCTTACAGCTGGGCGGATGCAGGTACTTCCCCGTGACGTACTGCAGCAGGGAGTGCTTGGCTTCCGGCGCCAGCGAAGGCTGTGTCATGGCCGCCAGGGTCACGAGACCGCACACTGACACCGATACCACCAGCATGCCACCTAATGTACAAGAAGATTAAATTTAGGAAGAAAGAAGAATTGTAGTGTAGCCCCCATGACATATATTGATGTTAATTTAAGAATTAGAGAATAGTCTAATTAAAGTCATAAAGGAACAACACACTTTCTTATTAACCTCTCAACAATCTAGCGGCCTCATGAGACCACGGCCATATTCCGTCAAATCCCTAGCGGTCTCATGAGGTCGCACCCACCCACAGCACTTTAATCCATAAAAACTCATATGTATATACTGCTTTTCTATGAAGAAGTTTGGCATTATATAATGAATATGAAATACTCTATCCTCTAGTGCAATAAAAAACTGTTATCCTATGAATATTTATTTATAATCTACGTTAAATCGAAATACAATAAAATCTTTTTGTAATGAAGCAAACACTGACTTTTGTTTATAACACAGGATAGAGAATTTTGTATAGATTTTATAATGCTAAACTTCTTCATAGAAAAGTAGTCTCTATATAGATATAAGTTTTAATGGTTTTAAGTGCTGTGGGTGGGTGCGGTCGCATGCGACCGCTCGGAATTTGCCGGGCGCATGCGACTACATAGGATTTTAATGGCGTTTGTGGGGTTAACACTTTCCGACATTACAGAATTAAAAACACAGCAAAGGTATAGAATTTTTATATTTATTTATATATTTTACTTATCAACAAATAACATATTTTAACTAGTCTAGTAAGCAGTGTGGCTGCACTAGTTTTATTGTACGTCCGGACCACGTGTACTTAAACTTTGACAGAGATGACGAGACGAGAGAGACGCCTGCGTATTGCTGCTCCCCTCCGGTTCGCCGGTGGCGTGTGTTGTTCTATGACTGAAAAGGAATGATATAAAGGTAACATTATCTCACCCCAAGTCCACGCATCCTGATGCTTGCTGGTCTTGACGACGGCGCTCCAGAGATCCACTTTGAGGGTCTGGAGCGCCTCTTTGCCGGTGGGCAGACTCTGACGCGCCGCGGACCACGTGCCGAAATCTTTGGGGTCCAGCACGTGACGCGCTGTTGAGTCCTCCAGCCAGTACACATCTTCCAAGGATAGCACGTCCAGGCTAAGTAATCTGAAATGGAAATAACTATTAAGAAAGAATGAAAGAGAGAAAATATTTGGGTGTTTCGCCACATAAGCACAACGCCATATTGTACATAATATTTTCTTATTTTAAACGTTATTAGTAATAAAGTATTAGGTTTCCGAACGTGACGAAATGCACTCAGCTTTTGGCGCGGCGAGCCACAGCCACAAATGCAACGTTTGCTTCAAGTAGACTTGTCATCCACATTGATATGGACGACACACACGGTTAGTTCTGATCATTTCAACTGATCAGTTCAAACTAGGACTGTAGATATTTTTTTAAATATCGGTTTTTCGATATATCGATAGTTATAAATATATCAATATCGGAGTTTTATATATAGGTTTATTTATCGATAAATGGAAAAGCCAATATTTTAAAAAATATCAACAGTCTTAGTTTGACCTGATCAGTTGGAATGATCAGTTAAACTGACCGTGTGTGGCGTCCAATAGAAATACACCATCAAGTTTACCGGACGGCGCTACTAGCGCGCTGCAAACTTGACGGTAAACTGGATCGTGTGCCATACACATACACATCCATAATGCATTAAAAAAAGATTAAAAAAAAAACAAAAAAATAAAAGAGTAAAACTACAAATTTTGTGTGTATTTTTTACTAAATCCTAACATGCTATGTTATAATTAATAGCATTTGTGCAATATTCCGTTAGCCTTGTGTGGCGACTTAGGCAACCCTCCCATGCCGTCCCAGGGGTGTAGCGTTGCCAGGCGTCTGGATAAATCCGGACACAGTCAGGTTTTATGATTGCGTGTACTGCCAAATTAGGTGTCCGACTTGTCAGGCTTTTTATATTTGACCATTTTTTTTACATTTTCATGTACTTAAGTACATACTACTGCAATTATTGAAATTAATATTGTAATAAATATTGAATGATTTATAATAAAGAACACTGATTGATTCAATTTTAATTTAAGATTTTATGGTAAATGATAGAAGCATTGTTTTACTTTAAAAATATATTATCGTGCATAATATCTAAGACTGAATAATTAAGGCTGTTCGGCCTATTTACCATAATGTCCGGCTAAGCTGGATGGTCTGTCCGGCTTTTCGGTTTAAAGACCTGGCAACCCTACACGGGTGTGTCGATACGCAAAGTGAAATACCTGAAAAATATTGAACATTCCGACAGGTAGCTAAAATAACTATTACAAAGTAGTGTTAGTTCGATTACCAAGCGTGGCCAAATTCTTTTTTCTATTAGAGAAGAAAAACGAATATAAATCTTGTAAAGTAATTCTATAATGAAGTTAAATAGGTCGCTAATTTGCATGAAAAATAGCGCATTACAGCGGCTTATCAGGACTCAATCTGGGAGAGTAAATTATACAATAAGAAAAGTTGTACAATCGTTTGTTTTGAGAGGGGTTTACCTAGTATTTAATATTTTAATATATATTTAAAAGCATTGCTCGATAGCTGAATGATGAGGGATTCATAAACTGAAATTGTTGCTGCGTCTCCTTGGTTAATTCGATTACTAAGCGTGGCCAACAAATTCGTTTATCCATTAGTGAAAAAAAAACGAAAATAAATCTCGTAAAGGAATTATATAATAACGTTGAAAACGTCGCTAATTTGCATGAAAAACATCACATTACAGCGGTTAATCAGGGCTGAAACTGCGTGGGTTCACTTAATGAAATCGCACCCGCGGGCACGTACAGTCATGATCATAAACCCTTTTTATCACAGCTCAACTCAGAATTCATTTTTATTATCATTTTATCAAACTTACATTTCCTTTATTTATTATAGCCTATTAATAGTCCGCTGATGAAAATAGACCTCTCACGTAGATTGGCCCATAGGGGAATATTTGTCAAAGTTTCCAGACTAGTGGTAGAGAAAATATATATAATAATAATTATTGTGAATTATACATTTAACTCAATTCAATTTACCCTTTCGACTAGAATCGAGACATTCCATCTTAGTCCTCACGGTTGATAACGCAACTGGATTTTGATTCTTAATCGAAGATAGATGTAGGTATCTATGGGCCACAGTATTCATTTACCATCAGGTGTGCTCAATCGTCACTCTCGTTCTACGAAAAATGACGACTCACATTTGTGGTAGATACCAGCAGGTAGCCCTGGTTCTACTATCGATTAGAAGTGGGTGTTAAGTGTGTAACGTTAAGGAATCTTCACTTAGAATGTAATGGATTTTTTTATTTTTTAATATTTGTTCTGAACAAAACACATTCTATGGCTTTCCACAATAAAAGATTAATCCACCACCAAAAATACGGGCTACTTCCGGTATTGCATTTAGTAACTAGATGCTTTTGTCGAATTTATTTAGTTGACTCGTGAAACAATTAAATGGTTATTTGTATTGGCTTTATATTTATTTCATATGTTTCCATTGCCGACTGTTACTGCAATCGTCAAGATCATTTTACCGAGCGTGGTGATTAAGGCAAATCCTCCACACAACGGGAGTGGTACCCATTTTAGAACCCATGGTAGAATGCATTAGTGGACGTCGATCGAGCTACTTGATCATTCGAGAGCTCGCTACGCTCCATCAAACGCTATTTAAAATGACGTCTAGATGAATTTAAGGTATCTGAAGCCTTAAACTTTTTAAGGTCTAGCTTAAAAACAGTCGCGTACAGAGTCTTGTGCATTTGCGTCTCCATAATAATACAAACAAGAGCGTACTGGCCAACAATAACGCGTCCTCTTCTGAATACATTTGAAAGATACTAATGATGAACCTACAATCACATCGGTTAATTCGATAAATGATTGAACTACGTTTTATCCACCAGTATCCGTCAATCAGGTAAAGCTACCACACCAATCGATCGACGATCGATCGATTCGTGTGGTAGCACCCTTACAGACTGATGAGATAAGAAGTAAGTGAATAAAAAGCGTAGTACAAGTTATTGCACTACACTTTAACACATATAACGACAAAACTACAATTACTTATAAAATAGAAGCTTACTCGAATCGTTCCAGAGCCGAAAGGTCGTGGAGGTCCGGAACCTAGCGACTAGATACCTGTAGAGATATTATGCACACCAGTCAAGGTATTCGAATCGGCCATTCACTACTGTTTGTATATGCAGGTAAAAATTCTATTGTGGTACTGGTATTGGTGTACTCTCTCTCTAATTTGGCTTCCGCTCTAGTCGGAGTACAACGGGGAGCTTGCTGCATTTAATGTCACAAGTAGTTCCAGCAGTTGACGCAGGGATACAAGTTGATGTGGCCTATTTCGATTTTCGGGAGGCATTTGATACGATCGATAATGATTTGGCCGTAGTAGGTTACACACCACACACGTTGAAGTTCTTCGCCAGCTAATTGTGATACAGACCTCAGTACTTTGACTATGGTGGGTACCACTCTGACCAGTAATTTACAAGATCAGGGGTCAGTCAAAGAAGTAATTTTTGACCCACGTTATTTCCTTGATTGACCCCTGGCCCCTGACCACCTTCATTCTATCATTATGATAAACGACTTACCGGAGGTGATCAAAGAATTAAAGTGCCTTTTATTTGCGGATGACCTAAAATTAGTTAATAAAAAATAAAAATATAAATTTCTTTGCAACTTTCCGCTAAACATATAAAATGGTGTGTCTTACCTGGATTGAAGCGCACCTCCCGCCCTCCCTCGATTGCATACACTAACTCCGTCACCACTAGACCAAGCACCACTACTCTCAACACCACTATTCCAGGCAAGACACACCATCGACGATAATACGACACGTGTTTCGCCTCTACACGAGGCATCATCAGGTAATATAGACTCTACGGCGGCTGACCGCTAAGTGAGCGGCGAGTCGAAACAGTTGCTATTTATACACGCTGACACAATCGCTCCCTACCAAAGTAGCGAGTGACCGCGTCGTGCGATAACAAACCTGCCAACAGTTATTATTATTGTTATGATTATTTTTAAATACTATTATTATTATTGTTTTGAGTGACCGCGCCGTGCGATAACAAATCTGCTACTAATTATTATTATTGTTATGATTAATATTTTAAATACTATTATTATTATTGTTTTATTGATATTATTATAATTATTTATTATTATTAATCTTAAAATTATTATTAAAGATTGGCCTTAAAGATGTTTAACAAAGGTGAATTAGAAACATTTGTTTGTTCATTCAGCAGTGTATAATTACCATTATTACTTTTTAAAATCTCCAACTGCTCCAGCACACACAGTCGCAGCCCCTTATTACAGGTATGTAAGACTTCAAAGGAATGGTCGCTAGCTAGGTTGTGTCCAGTGTCCAAGAGATGTTTAGCAAAATGGGATTTATCAGGATTGCAATTTCTGTACGCGGCCATATGTTCTTTATAGCGCGTCCCGAAATTGCGACCAGTCTGACCCACGTAAACGGCGTGGCATTCGTCACAAACAAGTTTATAAACACCCGATTTTTGACTAATATTTAACTTATCTTTATTATTACAAATATTCCTAAGCGAATTGTTTGTTTTGAATGCCACGTTAACGCCGTTTTTCTTAAGACTATTAGCTATTTTTTCCGATATGGGGCCTAAGTAGGTCAAACTACCCACATACCGCCGGACACTTTGAGATCGAACCGCGTACAAAGAATTGCGAACAACATGCTTTTGTTTCTTTTTAATAAGATTATCAACGAGACTTTTTGAAAAACCGTTAGAGACCGCAATTTGATAAATTATATTAAGTTCTTTTAAATAATTTTCTTTATTTAATGGAACAGTGGACAGACGGTTAATGTAACAATAAAAAGCGGCTAATTTATGTTGCCATGGATGACACGATGATGCGGGGATGACCGTGTCGGTATGAGTTGGCTTTCGATAAATTTGAAAAACATGTAACGACTCTTTTCTTGTTATTGTTAAATCAAGGAAATTAAGGGAGCCATCTTGTTCCAATTCAAGCTTAAATTTAATTTTTTCGTGGACTCTA